TCAAAAGATGGTTAATATGTAAAAAAATATTTAATGCTGGTTCTTATCTGCCAATAAAGCAATGAATATTTCTGTTCTTTGCAATTGCTTATCTCCACTAATGATACTTTTCATCAACAGTTCTTATCAAATATGTAAGAAGGTTATGTTTAGCAACTATGATAACTACACATCACTATCAAGTGGTGCACAATCAGATATTAAATATACTAACTTTTAATAATAATTTATATTTTTGTTAAGCATAATTTTATGTTTAGTTTTTTAATTTTCAAGTAAATAATAATCACACATATACACACTTATATATATGTATAAATGTCATTTTATTGTTTCAATTATAAGAAGTTAAAGTTCTTGAATATAATTCTATCTATCATTCAATAAATTTATTTTTAAATAAACAATTGATATATTTAAATTATAAAAATTTTTATTGATGTTCTGTATCTAGAAGTGTTATAAATTGTAGTTAGAAAACATCAAACTAAAGCAGGGGTTCTAAACCTTTTTCTTTATCGACCCTTTTCCAAAAGTAAAATTAATTTGCTGACTAATTTCTATTCTGATCTAAAATAAGAATAAATAATAACAGAATGAAATGAGAAGTCACATAAGAATTTAATAATAAATTTTTATTAAAGATAAATCAAAATTAAATTTTAGTAAAGTAAAACATATAAAGATTACTATTTTTATTTATATATGCTTTTAACAATGGACAAATTAATTTTTATTATAGACTCCCCAGATAAACTGATAGATCCCTCAGGACCAGGTTGAAACCCTCTGAACTAAACCAAAATTTATTTATGCATTAGTATTCACTTCTATCATCTAATATTCAAATGAACAAAAATGAATGAAATATTGAAGACAAATTAAAAATACAGGAAACAAATTATCAGAATATTTTTAAATTCTAATATATAATGAGTTAACAGCATTAGTTTAAAAGATTTATTAGTTCCTAAAAATAATTTCTTTAAGATTACATTGTTTTATTGGATCAGCAATAATAACATAAAAAACTGAAGTGCTTTTGAATATCTGCATACATATAAAAAATAAAAAAATACCATATTTTAACATAATAACAAGTTTTGAACTTTAAAAAAGAATAGGAAATTGAATATTTGCCATCATTCTGTTAAACATAAAATGTATTTTTATGATTTATTTTGTAATACAACCTGAAGACTGTCTGCAAGATAAAAAATATTTTGATTTGTGTATTATAATTTTTTACTCAAGCAATATTATGAATTGTTTTATTGGGATATAAATTAAGTAATCATGTTCTGTCCTGTTTTTTAAAAAAATATTTTAATGTATAAATTCAAACCTCATTTAATTCATCAAGGAAAAATGTTTATCTAAGAATGAAATATTGATGACAATCAGCAGTGCCTGCAGCTGCAGACTATGAAAAAGTGAATTGTATATTGTGCAAGAAACTTCAAACACTATAATTTAACATCAGATCAGCACTCCCACAAAGTGGCACTGGTTGCACTTGGGACTAACTTGGTCTCAAAAACAAGGAATGGGTATTTGGCCAACATAAGTGCATGGGTCAATGGACAAATATCATATATTATTTTTTTTTTTTTATATTTGCAAAATAGGCTAGAAGTCATAAATTTTCTGTTGTTTGGGGTCCCCTTGGAATTAGGAAAAGGGCAGTTGAGATGAAAAGGGGGACACATGCCCCAATGTACAGGCACCACTGATGACAACGCAGCAAAACGAAATAAAAAGGCTAATTATCTATCATCATATGTGCCTTATTTTTACTCAAAAGAGAATATTTAGAATGCTTTGCTTTACTCAATATAGAGGTTGAGATGTTAATAAAATTAGACAGTAGAATGAACAAAATTACACTAAAAATATGATTATGGATTTTGTATCTTTTGATTATGGATATTTGTATTCTTATTCTTGAATTTTATATTTTAGCACATATTCCTCATAGGGTGATATTTACCAAGACAGCAAGGCAGTGCCAGAGTTTCTTATTTGGGGATATAAAATCAGGCAATTTGCTACTTTATATAAGAAAATGTTTCTGGATTATGTTTATGCTACTAAATTCTCACACTGTCACTATATGTTAAATACTGGTAACTGAAGTAAGGTTTTCTGTGTTTTGACTTTTTTCTTTTTCTGACTACTTTAATGATTGAACATTACTGGCCCATGTGTTGAAAACAAATCCCTAAAGATCTTATCAATCTATGAACATTAAACATACAACACTACAGAACTGCAGCAGTGCTTGCACACAGTGAACTCTAAAAGATGGAAATAAATCATACAAAGCTCTTTTGTTAATTTACTTCATTCTACTTCATATACCAGCATAGAAAGTGATAAACATTTTGCTTTCAGAAAATTCAGCCATAAATACTGTAAGTAGCCAGAGCTCAAGTGTTTATTACCTTATCTGAAATTATTTTTAAGAACACTGTGTTCATTTTGGATTTATGATTACCCTAGGAATCTCCCATGATGCCATCTATGCAAGACAGATTACAATTTTATCAATTCTTATAATACCTTTTAATAATAACATCAAATTCCTTATTTTTATAACCAACATTTTCTATAATCATCATAAATATATTTTATTTGTAGAAGAAACACACATTATGCATTATTGTAATGATTTCAACTAATGATAAATAACTGAAACTAAAAAATCTTAAGAGTATTCTTATTTGAGATAATATTAACATTTCTTCCAATAGTGATTAAATTAATGGATAAATAGAATAAAATAATACTTTTTCAAACATCACAGACTTTGACTTTAAATCAAATAAAATTAAATTCAGTGCATGTTTTGTTAGAGGATGGATTAATTCTTATATATACCAATCTAAATATTTTTGAATTTTTTCATTGTCTTCAGAGATTAATAACTGCATACATAAAGTTAATGCATTCTGATAAAATATTATAGTGTCATATTAATTTATTATTTGGGTAATGTTTTCTTTTATCATCATTGGTGTAATGTCAAAATTAACTTATTACTATTGTCATCGTAAAGTTATGGTTAGATGGCCGAGGCAGTAATTTGGCCTATTGCTCTGGGGAACTCAGATTTGGGTCAGGTTGGATCCTATGAAAGTTTCATAAATGAAATGACATAAATTATTAGTCTCCATCCTTCACTACTTGACTACATACAACCTGTCCAGTTTGGTAAGTCAGGATGACTGAGCTCATTTCCAATAGAATATTCAAATACAATATGGGGCAAATGAATTGTCATTTAAATTAAAATTTGTTCTTTCCCATTTACTTATTTTTGTTCTGTCTGATCAGAAAATGGAACAATATGATCCAAATATGTTAATTCATTTTGAAATAGTACCTTGTTAAGCGTTTAATTCTTTTCATTGTTAATGTAAAGTCAATTTATCTCTAATTAGCTAATACAGGTACAGTATTGCATTTTCTTATTGAATCAAATGTGAATCCTGCCTATCTTATTTAAAACAAAACTAACTTAAGTGAAAAATAATTATACATATTTTATTTTGGAAAATAAATTAAGATTTGATGAGAAAACCAATTTATATTTCTTTGATCAATTTTATTTTTATATAAAAAACAAAGAAATTACTAATTTATTTCAATTAAATTCTTGACAATAAATTCCATTACTTTTCTTCATAATTTAACAGATAAAACGTATGCTTTCTTGATAATACTAATTGAATTTTTTAATTTTTCAAATTTAAAAAGAATTGATTATTACATTAAAATTTTTTTAAATTCAGCACTATAACTTAGCATTTAAAATGAAACCTACAGAGAACTTATCAAAAACATATTATTTACCAAACACTGTTATTTTATATATTAAAACACTCACTTCACAATAAATAAGGCAAAGACATGTAAACATTTAAAGATTGTTTCATACTAAAATGAAAGCACATTAGAAAATCAATTTTTGAAAATTTAATTATTACCAGTAAGATGTGTACTACCAGTATATGTTGCCTTGGGCCACATTGGGTTAAAGTATGTTGTATTATAATTTGAAGTGTACTAATATGGATACCAAAAGAAATACTTCTATGCAAATTTGATAATACAAAATTTTGTTAAACTGAAATACGTTATATAGATTTAAATCAAAATAATACTAGTGCATTTATGAATATTTGGGTATGTCTAATAACCTAAAAATATCTTTACTAAAATCATCATGGGCTACATGTGGTCTGTTGGCCATATAGATGTAATCAGGTGTGCACAACCTTTAATAATTATCAAAATAAATTTTGAACTTATATTTGAAATAAAAAATGATTTAATTGAGTAGTCTTTTAGTTGTAACTATTCTGTTTGGACTATCATATTAATGAATATATTCACAACATGATGTTAAGATAATTTAAATACAGACAAAACACTAGCATACCTCATATTAACACATTTTTACTAATGTTTTCATCTGTATATAACAGATATCTTCAGATATATATATATTTAACACAACAAAATGGACAAATTTGTCTGTTTTGTTCTGTATTATGTATACCTAAAGATGTCTGTTATAAACAGATGAAAATGTTAGTAAAAATGTGTTAATTTGAGGCATGCTGGTGTTTTGTCTGTATTTAAATTAATAGATCCCAGTATAAGAAAGTTATTGACAATGCTAATATATTATCATCTTATCAAAGACATTAATTTTGAACTTCTCCACTTTCTTTCAAATAAAAATGTATTCAAAAATAAATGAAGAATAATCATTAAACAATAATAATAATCAATCTGAATTATTATAAGATATTGCAAATATTACACATATTCATCTTATATGCTGATAAAATACAATATATTGCCTTTGTTTTAGTATTTTTTTTTTTAAATTTAGTTTTTATTGAAAATTTTTAGGTTTTAATGTTTAAAAAATTGAGAAAAAGTAATCTTTTTAGGAAGATGATCTCAATCTATTGATAAAATCAAAAATATTCACTTAAATATTATTTATTTATACAATAATAATAGTCATGCAAATAATCTAAATATAAAATAATAAATGGACATTACAAATTAACAGATGTCATCAACTTGCAAATCAATTCATTTGCAAGAGAGAAATTAATTTTTATCAGGAAATATAAAAAATTAATATCCCATTGGTACATTATATTTTAATATATTGAGATATAATATAATCATTGAATAAATATTTTTGTCATAATTTTTCTACATACAGTATTTTCATTTTTAGATAAATCTTGATTAAACTAAATGGTTTTCCCCCATATATGATGTCAGAAAATTCTTAATGCAAAAAAATATTTACAAAGGTCACCGAAAATCTCAAAGAAAAAAAAAAAATTATACACATTTTCAATGACAGAAACATTACTCTAAGAAAACGAGTGTACTGATAATATTTAGTGATACGTGAGACATTCGTCGTCTCCTCCTACATACATCAATGTTAAATATGTACATGTGAATACAACAATGGATGGGGAGGAAAGAAAATGATGATAAATTGCAGATTAAAAACAGTTTGTTCCAATGTACAAATTGTGGGCTTGGCTTTATAGTATTTTGTATATTGACAGCACTACCAGTTATCTCCAAGTTTTACTTATTCTTGTGTCTAAGAGCCAGTAACATCTGAAATAAATTGTTCCCTTGAAAAACTCCTTTGACACTCATTGTGCAATCACATACTGATAAATTATTTCCTGAATGCAGCACAGCTGACACCTTTTATGCAATGAAGATCTGCACATCTGTCAGTTTTAACAACAATACAACTGATGTTGAGACACCGTATCTAGTCTGGCATGTCCATTCTTTGCCTCTTATCAATCAAGAGAAATAACATCGGGAGTCGTACTGGAAGCTTTCCTCCCACCAACAGCAGATGGTACAGTAGAGTATGGCACCTAACAAAAACATAAAAATATATTACTCATACAATTAATTATAAAAAGCTGACTTTTTAATGATATTTTATTGCTTTTTTAAAAGATTTAATGACAATAAACAAATAAAATTCCAGAAACTAGCTACATACTAGGTACAATATTTGTAAATTAGACTTGTTTAGTATATTGCTACAGTAATTTCCTTTCGTTTGGTGAAAATATGTTATTGTTTATACAAATCAATTTTTAGTGTTCTATCACCATCTTATATCATTATGCATATAAAAAAATTTCTTAGTTAATTTTTCATATTTTGATTCTATAATTAATTAATATAGTAATAATAGAATAAACCAATCCTTCTAGAACAGATACTCTAAACAAGATTGGCATCAATCTTTATTGAGAACCAATCAATTTCAGAGAAGGTTCAATATATGTGAAGAGGACAAATAGAGATAGGCAGTCAATATATATTCAATTTATAAATATTAATTCATTTCTTTCTTTGAAACACAACAAACTGCTTGGTGAAAAGGAAATATAAGACAACGTTTACAAACTCTAGCACTTTGAGCCTTACTGGTTCTCCTTCAGAAGTACAAACTTCTTATAAAATGTGTTCAAAAAGATCCAGGAATGGATCAAAAACTCAATGTTAGGAAATTTATTTAATAACATCACCCCAAGCTTTGTACACTTTATCAAAGATAAAAAATCTAGGATGAAATATATTGTACAATAATTAAGACAGAATAAAAAAAATATTTTTGAGGTCTTCTGAATGTCCATTCACAATCACCAGAACACAATAAACACTAGTGGAGTCTGCTTTCTGGATATTTACAAAAAATTTTCAACAATTTGCATATATACATGCAAATTGTTGAAAATTTAGAAGAGCCTGTAAAGAAACGTTGACTCTACTAGCATTAATCTGAATTCCCATTTGCATTCTGATGATTGCAAATGGGAATTCAGAAAGACTATAAAAATATTTTTTGTATTCTGTCTTCAATATTGTAAACTTTATTGATTCTGCCAATTCAGGAAAAATGTAGAAACATTAGCTTCTTTCAGATATCACAAAAGTTTTGTTGATTCATCTTGTATGAGTTCATTCTATTGACTCAAACTGCTTTCCTTTTAAAGTTTTTTAATCTAAAGTTGGAAAAAGTCATTAGGAGCTAGATTAGGTAAATACAATGGCTGTGAAAGAACAGCAGATGCATGTTTTGCCAGATAAGTAATCATTGTAATGGCTTGGTGTTGTGATAGGACAACCAATTTTTCAAACTGTTTCATTAAATCACTTCATGTATTGCTGTAAAATATTAAGATAAACATATTGATTATTTGTTTGGACTTTAAGAATAAATTTACAATGAAAAATAACTGTGTTTCAAAAAAGATGTTATCAACAAAGTCTTATTAAACCAAAACTGAATGAATGAATGTAATATTAATGCTAACCTTTGTCTTCAGTTGATATAAGTTAATCTCAAAGTATTTTTGACTCTTTTAAAGTCATCTTCAATGTATTCTTCTACAACAAATAACTGAAAAAACCAGCAACCAATACATTGTGATAGGAATTCAAACATCTTTCTCAATATATTAGTTGCTGGTTTGTTCAGTTGTTCATTGTAGAAGTATTTAAAGTGAAGATGGCCTTAAAAAAGTAAAAATACTTAGAAATTAACATATATCAACTAAAGATAAAGGTTAGCGTTAACACACAAACAAAGTCTTAATGTTAGTGACAAGGCCTATGATTCATTCAGTTTTGAATTGTTTATTTCACATGTAACATCTTTATTTTGATAGAGAGCTTTCTCTCTGAAAGTTTGTTTTGTCATTATTTATATTTCTCTTGAACTTGTTCCCAAATTAAAGCAAAATTTTATGCAATTTCTTGGTTCTTCAAAACCTTTCATGATAAATTTAAAAAAAATTTTGCTATTTAATTTTTTTTTTCTTTTTAAAATGGAAATAAATACTATTACATGCAGTCATGAGACAGTATTCTTAGAACTATCAAGATATAGCACGAAACTGGTCACATGTAAATTACAGAAAATTATCCGTTTCATTTTTTTAACATGCCTATTCCTGGAACTTTCTGAACACATCTTGTAAATAAAAATAACATTCCTCTATTAATAGTTTTTTGGAACTATTAATTCAATCATTTTTAAATCCTATTTTTGTTTGACATTCAATCTATTAAGGCCAGACATTAGGGCTAACTCCCATTTAACAATTCAAACAGAAAAATGTAATTATGTTAATAAAATAATATATTGTACAAAACATATTTATTTTGTACCCATTTAGTTCCTCCTTAGTCTAATGTATGAGGAAATGTGGTTTTTAAAAACCTATTATCTGAAAATCCTGGGTATGGGCTTTCATTCTATTATTGAACATATTCAAATAATTATCTGTTTCATTATTAGTATTAATAATAATCAATTATTTTGATTTGGTACACAGTACAAGACTAAGTGAAGATGCTTTAGGCTTTTTCCATCCACTTATACAAACTTTAATTATCAGTTTTACTTAACAAAGTAACAATTAGATTGTAGGAAAAGTGTTTATATCTACTGAAATTATTTTTTCATACAGCCGCACTTGAATTAAATTACTATATAATTTAATTCAAGTGCAGCTGTATGAAAAAATAATTTCAGTACACTTGTTCAAATGTTGACGAGGTAAATATATTACAATATACAGTAATTATACTATCTTATGTAAATAATGTGTGTTAAAGTTTTGTTTTTGGTGTTTCGATTTTTCAAAGTATAAAAATATCACTTTTAATGATTGCTGACATTCTAAATGTATGAATGATTTCCTGATAAATATAGAGGGTGTCTGTAAATGTTCTTTCTGATTTTGAAAATTTATTACTTAGCAAGTCTGCAAGGCAAAGATATATATGACACTAGATGATACCCGTGACTTCACCCGCGCAAATTTTGCAAGCAAACCCCATTTATATTCAGTATTTCAACAACCATAGTAATTATTATATAATACCTACCGCTGAGAATGATGAGAATTGCTGAGATCAAATGAACTGTTTTCAATTTGATCAATTTTCTGGAACGTTTACAATCGTTCTATAATCGAACCAATATGCAATAACAAATTCGAATTTAAAGTGGTTCAAACATTTGGTTAAAAAATCAAAATATATAAAAATATTTATAACAATGTCTGAAATGTTATCAATTTAATACACCTAAGTACTCAATAAAGACTAAACGTAGTTGAAAACAAAAATTTGCATCTAAAATAGTACAGTAGAAGCTTTTCTTAAGATTAAGCCTTAATGCTCTCCCTCTCCCCCATGGGGGAATTTCCAAAAATCCCTTCTTAGTGTGCGTTTTTATGACATACCATAACTGTGTACCAAATTTCACCTCTTTAGGTTCAGCGGTTTACTCTGGGTGATGATGAATCTATCACTCAGTCAGTCAGGACAAGTAATTTTATATATCTAGATAAACATGAGTTGAAAGACAACTCAAAAAGTTTATTTACACACAGAAAGAAATTAGTCAACTTCAATGTGAACACTATGACTAATTCAAATGATATTATACCAATATTCTCTCACCAAACATTGTGCATGTCAAGATTGACTTTTGCACAGGAATCATTTATTGTTTCAATTCTTTAATTGTTGGCAGTGGTTGGACATAAATACTGTCTTTAACAAATCCATAGAAAGAAATGCATGGGCATCATGCCTGGGAACCTGGGAGGCCAAGCCAAATCCAACATTGTGGAAGTGAGGTTTTACTGAAACAAGTTCTGAATGTTCTCATCCAATTAAGGCTGCACAATATGTGGCTAGAGATTGAATATTGGTATGATGTCATTCAAACTATTTGTGATGCTCTTATTAAACTTGACTAGTTTTCTTTGTGTAAATAAACTTTTTGAGTTGACTCTCAGCTCATGCTTATTTTATGTATGTTTGTACTGTACCTTGAAGATTTACTGAGTAATAAATTTCCAAAATTAAAAAGAACATTTACAGACACCATCTATTAAAGTGTAAGAAAAATATCATCATTATAGCATGGAAATTTTAAAATGCCAAAACATTTTACTTTGGCAAAACAACACTTTCATTTCAAACAATATGACTGCAATGTTTGAGAAAATATAAAGAAATGTAAAAGTAATCTTAACTAATTAAATGAATAAAAAAAATGCAAAATTTATCATTAGTTTATTCCACAAAAAAATAAATTAATAAAGGGCACTTGTTCATTCATCTCTACATAATCTATTGTTTAATTATATTTTATTTAAAATAAACATTATGATTGACTGTTTAGTTGCTGATTAATAAAAATACAGTAAACTCTTGTTAATTCGAATTTCAAGGATCCAGGAAACATTTTAATTATCTCATGTTCAAATTATCAGAAAAGTCAAATGAAATAATAAAAATTCAGAAAACAGTACAATATATTTGCAAAACACTGTACTGTTTTCTGTTGTATTGATTATAAGAACTCTAAATTAATCATAAAATTTAAAATTTTATTTAAACTTATTTTACCAAGTTTATTAAAGTGCTGGAAACTCAAGGCTAACATTCTAGAAATGTTTCATTATTGGTTAAAAGAAGATGTATACAATAAAATGTGACTAACAAGGTCAAGTAAGTCATTTGGTGAAATCATCATCCTTATGTTTATATAATAATAATTTGTCATGCATAATGAATTACAAATATAGCAACCAGATGTCCCCAGTTTTGTGTTTTTTTAATATTTGATTGTAGAATCAATCTTTGAATAAAGCAATTTTATTAACACACCAATATATCACAAATCTATAAATCAATAAATAAATAAATTTTAAAAATAACTGAAGTTCAATCAGTTTTAGACCACACTTTCACTGATTCTTAAATGTGTTCTCAATTAGGTCATAAATGATTATGGTCCACTTATTACAAATTATTATTTATTGGATTAATTTAAAAT